CCCCCCCCCCCCCCCGCCGCTGCTGCTGTGTTGTTGTTGTCGTTGTTGTTTTCGGTGTACTTCTGTCGTTGTCCTTGTTGTTGTTGCTGTTGCTGCTGATGGTGGTGAAAGTGGTGAAAGTGGTGTTAGCGTCGTCGTCGCGTCATTTGCCAGGTGTTGGTGCCGCTGGTGTCGTTTTGCTGCTTCCAGCTTTCTTACTCGGTCTCCTCCTCCTTCTCCTGCTTCCACCTCCCTGGCTGACGCTCCCTCCCGCCTGCGCTCTTTTTCGTGTTCACTCTCCCGTCGATCCACCCATCCAAGGCCCTCGACAAAGCGGGCGCCATCACAACCCTGGTGTCCCTCCTGGGCCGTGGAGGAGAACAACAGCAACAACAACAAGACGCCGCCGCCGCCGCCGCTGCCGCCTCCTCCTCCCAAGCAAAACCTCCACCAATAACGGCAGCGGCAGGCGTTATGGGAGCAGCGGGGAGCGGCGGCGGTGTTGACGAGGATCTTGAGAACCAGGTCCTCCAGTGTATGTTTTACCTGTGCAGGATCAGCCGGAAGCGGCAGGAGAAGGCCGCCCGCGCGGGGCTCATTCCTCACCTTCGAAGGCGAGATGTTTTTGGCGTTGTTTGCGCGGGATTGGGGTGGCGTGCGGGTAGGGTAGCGTGGGGTTTCCAAGACATGCGGCTAGAATTTGAGGCGGGACCGGGGAGGGGCGAGGTGCAAGTGTTTTTTGTACAGGGGGGATGTGGCGAAGGCTGTCGAGTATGGAACGGTAGACGGCTTGCTGACTGTTTTGTCGAGAAGCCGAGTAATGTTTGGTTCATTATTGGATGTTGTGTTTCAACAGTGTGTGGTTTTGGAGAGTGTTCCATAGGGACCGAAGGGGCTGGGTCGTGCAGACGTCAGCTATCGTGGGTGGGAGCCAGCCTTAGCCGCCCGTTGTCCGGTGTCTTGCTCATATTGCAGACTCCTAACCATTTTGTTCTCGTTGGTGGTTATTTGCCATTTCACATTGTTCGCGCACTTCTTCCAAGGATAAAACCTCCGCCCCCCTTGGTTGGACGCATGAACCTCCGCCCCATTCCCCCCAACGGCCCGCTTGCTCTCCGTCCAAACAGGTGCGTGCTGGAGCAGTCGCGGCTGAAGCAGTTCGCTCTACAGATGGTGTGCGACTTCGCCCACACGTCGGGCGTGGTCCGGAGCTTGATGTGGGACGAGGGGGTGCTAGACTTCTACCTGTCGGTCATGCGCAGCCCCAAGGACACCCATTGGCACGTTACTATCTTCCGCAGCCTTTGCGCCTGGTGAGTTTTGCGGTGGTTTTTGTCCCTTTCTTGGCCATTAGCTGGACTGAATTTATTACTAAACATGAAAAAAACGGTAGATTGTTGTTGTGCATATTACTTGGTTCGATTTTCCGTTTGATTCTTCGGTAGGGGTTATTGTCGGGTGCGTCCTTTTTGCGATGTTCCGCTGACCACGAAAGGCGTCCGGCTCACTTGGACCAGATACGGATATCATAAGGTGTACCTGAGCAGAGACGAGCGATTTCATGTTGTGAAGACAACATCATCAACAACAACAACAGCAGCAGCAGCAGCAGCAGCAACACGCCTTATGTGCCATGTGTCATACTCCGTGCTGACAGGTTGTCGAGCGAAGGGGAGACGGATCGCGTGGCGGGCAGACTCGTGGAACCCCTAAACCTCGATAAGGTCATCTTCCTGTTCTGCACCGCGCAGCAGGTGGACTTTGAGGAGGTGGTCGACAAGCTGCACCTCATGATGGTCAAGAGCCAGACGCTCGTCAAGGTGAAAGATGACAAGAGATGACAGGACAGACAGACAGACAGACCGGACACAAGAATTTGCACGCAGCGGCCGCCGTCGGCGACGCGACGCCGTACACGAACGAGTGGATGAACATTCTCCCAAGTGTTCCAAGGGTTGTTTAGGGTGTAGATGCATGTCGGCCCTCTTCGCCCCTTCGCGGTGGTGCTGGCTGGCATATACCCTCGTAACAAGCGGCTCGGTTAAGGTTGAGAGTGAGGGTTTTCGGTAGCCGGTCAGTTCTCGTTCCCGCCATTTTATTTACTTGTGCACGTACTCCTTGTTTTGTTGGTCCTGTGTTTTTGTCATCCTTTTGCCGCCTCATTCCTCCCCCACCTCTGTTTTTTTTTTTTTATGTCAAAGTTCATGGCTCTGTCAACCTCACCGAGAGACGTGCACCGTGTAATTTTCCCCTCGCGGTCGTTCAATTTATTTTTTTTCTTCTTGGTCCGAACCAACAAACAGGCGCTCGGCTCGTCCGCGACGTTCATCGTGGAGGTCATGGAGCGCCTCCACTACCCCAAGGCTGTCGTCGGCAAGACCCTGCTGAGCATGCTCCGCATGATCCACCACCAGCACCCGGACCCGGCCACCCTGGTGCGCGACTTCGACCTCTACCGCATCGTGCTTACCCTGTCAAGGAACGAGTCTCAGGTTCTCGTGGCCGAGCTCGCCGGACAGCTCCTGCAAGACTTCGGCCGCGGGGGGGGAGGAGATGCTGCTATTGATACCGGCGGCGGCGGCGGCGGCGGCGGCGGCGGCGGTGGCGGTGGTGGCCAGAAAGTTAGCGTCGGGGAGGCGGCGGCAGTGGCGGTGTCGGAGACGAAGCCGGTGTCGCCGTCCGCGCCGCCGCCGCCGCCCCCACCGCATGCCGTGTCGCGGCCACCGCCTCCGCCGTCGCCGGAGTTTGCCTCCGCCGCCGCCGCTGCGTGCTCGAAGGAGGGGAGGACCGAGGAGAAGGAGGGTGGGCGGGTCGGGGAAGGGAGGAGGCAGGGCCCAGCCGAGGAAAGAGGCGGCGGAGTGAGTGAGTGACTGCCGTATAGATGGTCGTGCGGGGAAGGGGGGGGGGGGCGGAGGGGCAAAAGGATCTGCGTGCCGATCGGTCCGGTGGCTGCCGTCGTGTCCTCTCGAGTCAGCCGGGAAGGCTGTTATTGGTTGACCAAATACCCCCCTTTCTGACTGCGCGCTCGCGAGGAGAAGAGAGGCGAAAGACGTCGGCGTTACAACCTCGCTGTTCATTCTCCGGCAGGGATCTCTCTGGGGTTGATGTGTTTTGCTGGGTCTTCGGTTGTGACAGACTGCCGTTGTGATTTGTGTCCGTCTCGCGTTGCTGTGACTGATGTGTTGTATCCGATTTTCCACGCTTTTTTTATGCGGGGGGTCGTATGGAGTTGCCGGATCGTTGGACCGCAAGACGTGGCCGCCGTATCGTACTGCTGTGCGTTTGTTTTCCGTTTGAAGTTATCATTTTTTTTATTTTTTTGGTGCAAGTACCAATACGTGTATCTTTAACTCTCAGCATCGACCGCGCTACCCGGTTGGTTGTTGACCAATCAAAAGACGCCAGCCAGGGCCGGTCTTACAACAGTGTGTATGCGTGCCGTGCTCATGCGATGGACTGCATTTTCAGCGTTCTCCTTGGAGTCGGTGTTATCCAATGCAGTCTTTTCCAGGGGGTAACGGGGGGCAAGGGTTGATTGATTGCTGATGGCCCGCTCTCTCGCCCGACTGCACCTTGGGAAAAGTCGTTTGTGGTCGTTTTTGTTGTCCGGTGGTGACCTTTCGCGGATAGATGGGTTCCTGCCATTTGATTGTGACGGGTTTGTGGTTCATTGTCTCTTGTTGTCAAATGCACAACGTTTTGCTGTGCCTGTTTGGCCTTCGAGTTGATCGGCTGCAGAACGCGCTTGTCCGCACGGGAAGTTTTGTGTGCTTGCGCTCTAGGGAGTGGAACCAAGTGCCGAAGAATAAATAGCCTTCACGTTTTCTAAGGAAGCGAAGGCGGAAATCATAAATTCATGGACATTCATGAATGATGACAAATATATAGTAGTAGTAGCAAGTGTGGTTGGTGGCGACCTCATTTTTGGTTCTGCTGTTTGGTTGCGTTCCTCTGAGCGTAAACCGCGAACGGAATACACATGATGGAGTGCGAACCTTAACCTTCATAGCCCCAGCTGGCAGCTGCGGAGTACAGCGCCAGCAGCTCAATGATCAATGAGGAGTCGCGCTCGGGGGGTGGGTTGTTGCTGATTTCATGCTACAAGAGTATATACATGTGAGATACATCCCACGCCGGCAAAGAGCTCCTACGTACAGTAGGCCACGTCAGATTTATCGCTGGCACAAACAATTGCGGGGATAGGAGGGGCGGAAAACTCACGCCGAAAGGGGGAGAATGAACTCGACAGGGCTTACGGACGGTGGCGGAGGTACGCAGTTTAGTCACACCAGACCCTTGAGTGAATCTGCCCAGCAGTACAGGCAGTACAGGACAAAGACTGCAATTAGCATCTTGTTGTGTACCCCGGCGCTTTAAAACTTGGGCAAATGATGGCTCACCCCCCCCCCCCCCCCCCCCCCCCCCCCCCNCCCCCCCCCCCCCCCCCCAACGGCCTACGAAATGCATACAAGTACAAGCTCAGCAGATAGGAAGATCCTACGTACCGGAGGGTAACTTCAGTAGCAGCACGGATGGACTTTTTCGCAGGAAAGTCGACATCATGGACGATTTGAACACTTTCCTGTGACCATTCTGCTGTGATACTTTGCTTCAGCAGTGCATCCTTCAAACCCCAAGTGATTTCCACCACCGCCGCAGTTTATCTGTACCTGGTGAAGAAATGATGATCGATCATGCTGCACGTTTTTTCTTCGGGTAAATACACACACAGAACAAAAAACAAAGTTTCTACTCGGGCAGTTGTTGTCCGTGACCATTACATTACTTGGACGAAACTTTCACCGCCGACAGGGGGGGCGTTGTGAAGCCCGCCTATCCGACTTGCACACCTCTGGTCCTTCTTCTGCACTTTGTCCTTGTCCATGCGCATAGATATCCTCTCTACCGAACCAGCGGGCGAGCGGAGCGATTTCGTGTCTGAAAGGTGAGAACTACATGCATATGCCCACGGCAGTTACTTAATTTTACTGTCAAACAGGCGGAATGAGCGTGCTGAGCGAACTGCGATCTTCCAACATCACCTACGTAACACCCAATTCGTGCTACACCGTCCATCTCTTCTGGCATTTGTGTGGTTGTGGGTGTGGTATTGCCACATGATACAAACGCCCTTGTCGGTGAAATACTGCTGTTGCTTGATCTGGCGTTGCCCTTTTCGGGGGAGCTCGATGACACACACACACACTCACTACCTCGTTCTCGAGCACGTTTGTGTTCGCATCACACAACCAACCGCAAACAAACTTGATCTCACCAATAAGTCTAATGCGGCGGGTCAATGAATGGGGCGGTCAGTCCGTCCGGTATTTTTCGTTGGCCTTGTCTTGTTTTCGTAACAATAGTATGTGCCTCTTTCGATGTTGGTGCACTGCACTGCGCTATCGCGATACCGCGCTCAGCGGTAGCCTGGACTACTATAGTCTATTATTTGGTATATCTAGTAGGGTAAATAACCCTAACGAGGACAGCCAGCTCAGAGACATTGCAATGGGGCTCCGCGCTGTTTCACCATTCCTTCATTCCTCCTGTGTTGTATACCCCCTCCGGAGTGCAACCACTACCACTCGCAGGGCGAAGTGTTCATGAAAACTACTGCTACTACTGCTGTAGCTGTTACTTTTCACGCACACAGGTACAGGAGGTTTATGCTAGCAAATTCATCCTGTTTCTAGTTGATCATCTTCTCGATGCGGCGGGTAGTTATGACGGCGTGTCACGCCTGTTAAAAATGATCAAAGCGCGTTGTTAGCCGCTACCACCGCATCGGGGGTTTTCTTGTTCCTGACAATAGTTTTTACGGGGAAACCCCTCAATAACCCCTTGTGGAGGTGATGGTGTTGCCCGCCTTGGCATTACCCCGCCAGCTATTTAGATATCGTGCCTAAGGAAGGCTCGATTAGCCAGAGGACGTGGGGGGGAGAAAGTACGCATGCATGAGTGACGGTACCCATGGTGGGGTTTGCACGCATTGAACAGGGTGCGAACGAAATCAAAGAAACGACAAGATTTACGCATAATGCGTACTTCGATTTCCCACGTCCATCGCGTTGTGCCAAAACACCGATAGGATATCGATAGCCGATCAACGGGTGCCATTTGCGGTACATACTGTAGAAGGGATCACCGGGGCGCCACCCCATCGTGGAACACTTGTTTGAATGAGTCACGCCTTACTCATTGACTCGTAACCTGCGGACTTCGCAACACGACAAATGGACTAGACTAGGCACAGACCTTGTACGGCAATTCTTATTGTGTTGGTCCCAGACGGCTCTGTCTGTAAAACGCCAAACCGGGAGTCGTCCCCCTAAGCGAGAAAAACCTCTCGAGCAGCTGTAGCAGAAGGTACCACACGTAGGGGTTTCTCTCGCGAGGGCTCCCTGTAAAGCGAAATCGTTTCGTTGTTGGATCCCGCCAACATGCCAGCGGTAGGATCCCCGAGTGCAGGTGGGGGAGGGGGTCAAACACCACGACGGCTAGTTAGGCGAGCGCAACATCCGGCATGTGCATCCACCCTCGTTAAGCTCACCGCCCGCGAACCACAAAAAAAACTACATTGAAGCGACGAAAACTCTTCCCATGCATGCTGTACCCAGCTGAACACGACGGTTTGACGAAAGCCAGTCTTCGTGCACTGCCAGGGTTGCGCTCAGAATACCCCGCCCTTCCTCCGCGTTTGATCTCGCAACAACTCCCTATATGCATGCACCGTCACGGCGCCATGGGTACCCAACCTTCAATAGATTGGTCGGCCCATGGGGAACGCTTCTTCGTCGCCTTCTTCAAAGGGCCCTGCCTGGTATCCGGGAGAGTCGAGCCCGGACCCATTGACATGGCATGCGTTTTGTCCCTGCGATGGAGGCCTGTCGTCGTTGTGCACGACGGCTGAGTCGGCTACGGAAAGGCCACGTGGTGGCGGCGACACGCTCGCACAAGAAGAGCGAATTTCGGCACCAACGTCAGCCCACCCAGCATCGTCAGCACCGCCGCCGACAACAAGAACGGGGCGGGTTGCCGGACGAACGGCAACGTCGACGACCACCACGGGAGGAGCAGTGCTAGAGGAGGACGACAATAATGGCGCTACAGAGATTCCGAAGAAAAGGAAGGTGACGATGACCACGAAGAGGACGGAGACCAAGGCGGCGGCACCAGCGGCGGCAGCAACCACGAGTACTGCTAGGGGAAGAGGGCCTGCGTTGAAAACGTCCGGGGCGCAGCGTGAAATCGCTAGCCTTCCTGTCGTTGGGCTCGAGAGCATGAAGGTATGGTAGGGGACATGGAAGGCGACCTTGCATTTACCATGGTATGTGTTTAGTGGTGACTAGATGAAACGTAATGTAGCTAAAACACGCCGGATAGAGCAAAGCTCTGCCGTTTCATGTAAAACGCCTGCCTGCCTGGTGTTTCCTTGACAAAGTCGCATGTCGTATTTCCATACTTCGACCCGGGGGTGGGGGTGTACGTCTGAAGCTACCATTTACTGCCGTACTCTTCTTGGATACCACAGCTCATGGTTCCCCCATTCTGTCTCCGCCGTCCGAGTCTCCTATATTCCGATGACGGACTGACAACGAACGAAACATGTCGCGTCAGATCAGTTCATCGCCCACGGCGCCTTCTGCTCCGTTTTCGCGTGCAAGTACCCAGGGTTCAGCGTGGTAGCCAAGCGCGTGCGAGAATACCTGCCCCTCCCGGAGCGAAGGAAGGCCCTCGAGAACCTGTGGCAGGAGTATGGCCGCCTACTGCCTCTGCAGCACCCCCAACGTTATCGAAGCCTACGGCATGTGGTGAGTCACGACCACGTACGCATTGCACCCACCACACACGCACGGCGCAACAGGAACGACAAGCGCGCGGGTTGGGCTGTCCGATTGATGAACCCGTGTTGGCGATTAGGCTAGGGGTATTTAGCCGACGGCGTAACTTTCGGGAGGCTCGACAACACTCTTGTCTGCCACCGGTAGTCTCCCGAGCGGCCGTGGCGAGGACGGGGTCCCCCTGCGCGTAGTTCCGTACAACAACCCCACCTGCCACCTTCATCCCCTTGCTCTCCTCCCCCCCCC